CGGCGGGTCATCACAAAACGGCATGGATCATCTTTCTTGGGCTTCCTCAGTATGTATTCCTTCTCTATGGGCAGACGACGACAGGGAGGATCGGTCCAACGCAAGGGCATTCAGCTGCTGCAGGATATGATCCGCAACAGCTCGCCCTGGTGGTGATAAACTATGAGCACATCGCTCTGCCAGTGGTTCATATAGAAGTCTATTTTCCTCCTCGGACTGCTGTGTTCGTCGTTCGTCTGGCATGAAAGAGGGAGATCCGTCAGTGGTTGCCGTAGGTGTATGGCCAATACCGCATGTGGGACATGCTAGGAGAGGATGTGGAGGGTGATGGCACCGGGGGTAGTCCACGCAGTAAAGACACATACTTTCTATAACAGCTTCCTGGAAGCATTGACGACACATGGCATGTTGCTGACATGTCATTAGTATGGAAGGCTGACGTGCACAGTTATTTAAGCATGGCAGATCAAGGCCACAACGGCATGCTGGGCAAGTAATCAGGGCGTGGGGGGGATGAGCACAGGACTGGGAATCACAATTTTCGTGTGAGAGGCTAGCAGCGACCATCCCTTCATAGTGTTCGGAGCAGAGGCTATGTCGTGTACATGCCAACTGAACTGTACCTGTGGGATCACAATTTTCGTGTGAGAGGCTAGCAGCGACCATCCCTTCATAGTGTTCGGAGCAGAGGCTATGTCGTGTACATGCCAACCGAACTGTATCTGTGCGACGACACAACGGGAGGGCACAACCATCATCCTGTGGAGAGGTCCTTTCACTGTTTGTGGTAGAATCAGCAGGATTGCTCTCCGGGGGGTGCAGTGCTTGCAAATGCTCATCGACATACTGTTCCTGGTGGATGAGCCAGATTGAGTGACCCTCCAGCAAAGGTAAAAGCACTGAAGTGACCTGGATGATATGCCCGAATATTCGGATCCGTGCCTGGCTCGTGGTTTTTCGGAACAGGCTGGAATTGCAGTCGTCTACCCATAAATGCCATAGCCAGGACTTCTATGTTCACCCCAGGCGCAGCGCTGTCGTCGTCTGGGCAGACAGCACGGTGCTCTTCTTCTATCCAGCGCACAACGTCTGCGAAATCAGCAACAGTATAAGGATTACAATTGTAAGCAAGGAGACATACATTAATGGCATAGTACGCACAGCGCCCTCGCTGTAGCGCTATGACATTGTCTGATTCCACAGGTTGCGTGGGGGATCCGTTTACGGGAGGGGGACCCTCGTTCGATTCTGCAGGTTGCCCATGTGGCGGAGACTCGTTGCGGTCTTGACCAATTGGCTCCGGTATGTGCTCCGGAGAGAGATGATCTTCAACCGGGGGCTCCGTCAGGTAATCAGGAGACGGGCCATTGTCATTTGGGGCAGGGGAGCGAGTGGGGCTAGGTGGATAAGAGAGGGGCGTGTCAGGTGGGTGAGAACTGTGTGGACCAGATGTGGGAATCGGAAGCTGATCAGCCTCACTTGTGCTTAGGGCGGCTGCTAGTCGTGCAAACGCTGCACAAGTAGCTGCACCTCGTGTCTGGTGCACTCATAAGCCTGCAGCACTGAAGAAATCATCGGCACATTGCGGGCATCGGACTCGATGTGCACTATTCCTCTGTGTGTGTGTGTGTGTGTGTGTGTGTGTGTGTGTGTGTGTGTGTGCGCGACACTGTGTGTGTATGTGAGTGTGTCAAGATAAGTCGGATAATACAACTACAACAGCGTGTGTCTGTGTTTTATATATATATATATATATTGTCACACTGTGAATCAGAGCGCGAAGGCGAAAAAAAGCAAAACAAGGAAAGGAAGAGGAGTAAGGAAGGAAAGCCCACCTGTTCATCACCTCTTACGTACAAGGCCAGCCACATGGATGACAGGTTGAGCGCTGGCTGCCCCCATCCTTGTGTGTCACAAGGACCCACTTGCACGCAGACAAGAGGCAAAGAGGTAGAGAAAAGGAGGAGGAAACCAGACCTCACAGAGGCAAGAGAAAGAGAAAGGTCAAAGAAAAGACAAAGGAAGAAAGCAAATGACACATCGAACAGATAAACCAATTGCCACTGTCACTACAAACTTAGTACAAAGTTCAACATATTTTTCCTTTTTTTCTTTTTTCTTGTTTTCTTTTTTTCTTTTCTCCAGAAATTTGTACTTTTTTTCTTTCTTTCCTTTATCTGTCCTACAATTAGTGTTGCTCCTGATCGCTTGATTCTATTGACCAGTTAGGAAGAGGAGCCCCCACCCCGGCAGATAGGACAGGCACGCTGAGGATGACGTGGATGTTCACAAGGATACCCAAGGAGAGCTACTTCAGCACAGCATTCAGCAGGACGGCTAGCACGGACCATCCCATCAAAACAGTCCTAACTGAGGACATGCTGTCCACATGTCAAAAAAACAGCAGGACGTTCATCACAGTGCGGCATCATGCAGTCCTGATAGCGTCCTTGAGCACAAAAGGGACAACGGATATCTGGGTGATAGGGATGTGTACAATGAGGAAATGTTGGACACCCTTCGGCACAGACGGCGGCCGCTGCAATAGATTGATAATGTTGATGGCATAGATGATGAATTCCACAGCCAAGACGCACCGTGTCCCTGTACCGACAGGTGTCACACGAGAGTCGATCAATAATCCAGAACAAAATATGATTCGGTAATGCACACAGAAATTCAATTATGTTGAAAATAGCCTGAGTCG